CCAGTCCTTTTCTTCCCAATCTTGGCAAGTCTCTTCCCAAAATATCTGCGACCGGGGTTTTAGCCAAATACGGCGAACAGGAAGATGTTGGAGAAGAAATCGAAGCAAAAAACGAATAAACAATGATGAAACGAGACGTCTCAGACGGAAATAACGATAAAACCGTCTCTGGGCGTTTCTCTGTCGGTTTTGTGTAATTCTGAGGTTTTCCCTCAGCCGTGACTGCGCCAACAACAGCAGGATATTGTGATTCAAACAAGCGACTAAATACTGGAATAGCTCCGACCTGTGATTGGATGATAAAAATAGTAAAAGTTAATAAGTTATATCTTAACTCCATGCTCGTGAGTATTGTTGACCGCGTGTCTCGAAGCGGAACAATCAAATATCAATGCGAGTGAAAACACCGATGTGTCAAACAAGAAATGGTTACTTACCTAGCGAAGGGAAGGCAGCCTTTCTTGTTCAGCGAGGTCGTTCAGCGATATTCCGGCGATGAAAAAGTCATCTGCTGACTAGCTCTGCTGACTAAACTCATTTAGTCAGTTCAGGCGGACGACCAGAGACTGGAGCCATTCCTGTATTTCACCGCTGACAGGAATAGTTCCGACTCAAACGTTTAATAATTTTTTTTTCAATAATGTTTTAATAATTTTTTAAACAAATTTTTTTTCAAAAAATTTGGAAAAATTTAAAACTAAACTAGTGAGCAGCGCTGTGCGAACAGCAATTGAAAAACGTCTTTATTCTCTGACGCGTTTCGTCTAACTGTCGTAAACTTCTTCAGGGAGTTTTACAGGTTACGACTGAACGCCTATATTTATAAGCTATTGTTAGCGGCTATTGCGGGGGCCAATGACTATATGGGCTTGGCTGGACCTACGAGCAGGAATAGGTAAAGTTATGAAAATTTTGAAAATTTCTTTTGAAATTTTTTAGGCAAGATGAGAAATATTTTTGAGAGCCACGGTTTTAGCTAAAAATTTTCAAACTTGAAAAATTGAAGCGGTTTTTTACAGATGATTCATGGAAAGCAGTTGGCAAATTAGGTTAGGATGGCTCGTGTACTTTACAGAAAATGTGGTTTATGTTCTACTCATTCTTTCTTAAATTTAAGTGGTATAAATACCTTGTCTAAAACAGTAGTGTTATACAATAGTAAACGAGATTTACTCGTTCCAATACAGCGTCATGTGATGAACAGCCTTCATTAATTTTAGAACAAGTTTTCTAAAAACATTGTACTCTTTCTTATTCCATCACTGAAAACATTCAAGGTACTTCGACACGATTCAGTGCGAGAGCTATTGCCTCTGGTTTGACTGCAAAAACAGGTGAAGAGCCCGATGAATGAATTTGTCCTTCATGTGAAAAATAACCTAAAAAATCAGTTTTCCACGAAAAAAACTCCCTCGATTGCGGCCAAGCCATATTTCTCTAGCAGAGCATACTGTAAATTGGAAACATCGGTCGTAGCGTCACGCAACATTGCGTGATTTTTCAAACGTGACATGCAATTGCTGCATTATTTTTAAAACTTAGAACCTACATGGCCCTGTAGTAATGAAAGAGGGCTTCATTTGCAAGCACTGTAGACTTCAACATAAGAAGAACTTAATAAATCGCTCTTTCAGTCTTCATCTCAGTGTATAAATTATCAAGCCAGAACGAAAAAAAATTAATATACGCATGAGTTGGAGCCATTCCTGTTTGAGGTTAAATACACGAATGGCTCCAGTTTATGGTCGTCCGCCTAAACTGACTAAATGAGTTTTGTCAGCGGATAACTTTTTCATCGCCGGAATATCGCTGAACGACCTCGCTGAACAAGATAGACTCTGCCTTCTCTTGGTTATGTAAGTAGCCATTTCTTGTTTGACTCATCGGTGTTTTTACACTGATATTTCATCGTTCCGCTTTGAGACACGCGGTTACCAATACCCATAAGCAAGGAGTTAAGATATAACTTATTAACTTTTACTATTTTTATCATCCAATCACAGGTCGGAGCCATTCCTGTATTTAGTCGCTAGTTGATTCAAACTGACCGCCATTTTGATTGCGTCTTTAATTTTGTTGGCAACAATTAATATGAAAACGAGGCTGCGCAATACCTAACCGAGTCCGCAGTGTGAACGGTTCTTGAGCAACACATGTTTTATAAAACCATGTTTAAAAAAACTACGTTTAATGAAACTTGTTTAAATTGGTGTGAACAGGGCATTAGATTAAAGTTTATGGTTTCATTCAGAATGTTTTGAGAAACCATCCTATTTTTAATATTCTCAATTTGTACTCTCACTTCAAATATATCATTGTTATGTATACTCTGAAAATAATGCACTAAACTATCAAGAGACAGTACTTCGAGAAGAACATATGTACCTTGAGGCTACCCTCTACCATACAAATCTCTGACGTGAAAATCAAATATTTTTAATCCCATATTACTATTACAGTAATACACCCTACTGTTAATATGAAATTGGTGTAGCTTTCAAATATGAGCAACTCAAAGGCTCTTGGTACTGAAACTGTACAGTGCTGATATCCCTCTATAGCAATTTCTTGGTGAACAGTACCAGAGTAGCTTTCACTGTATTCCAGTTGATAATCAGTATCGAACACATTTAATGCTGTTGGTAATTCTGACAGCATTAAATATGCCTGTCTGGCTAATCATGACATACTTGAATAAAGCTGACTTCCAATATTCATTATTTGTACAAGATCATTTGCAGGGCTGATCCTTTGTGTGTCATTGGAAATCAAAAAACACAAACTCATTGCAACACATTGTTGTCCTGCATTCTGTTCAAAAACTAACTCGTTACCTTGACTATAGGAAGCTACTATCGTTTTGTTTGGGTCAACATGTGTTGGAGGGCCAGGAATTTTTTCTATGTCTCTACTTAATTTACCGACAGATCTTTCGGGAACTGTTCTTCACTTTTACCGACCAAGGGAAGCTTTCGCGGCGAAAAATCAGCACAGACACTGTGTATAAGACAGGTCACTGACGGGTTACCAACAGACGGCCAACTGTTGGCCAACTGTCGGTCGGCCGACACTTTAGTCTGCAACATTACGAAAACTGTTGGCCAACAGTATCTTTGGGAACTGTTCTTCACTTTTACCAATTAAAGTGTACTTTGGTATTCTAAATAGGCACAAGTAAATTTTCCACAAACAATAAATGTTAAGCTCATAGGGTGTGTGCAGTTTAAAGTATTTCAAAAATTTACAAGTGCTTATCATATGAGAAATCATGTTATTAATTATTCATAATGTATACATGAAAGATACACATTCACAGAAAATCAACAAACTGAAGGCAGATAAATTTGACAGTATTGACTAAATGAAGTGTGTGCCATCAAAATTTGTCCTTCAGCTGAATTCTTACTCAGGAATGCAATTTTGTTAGTGTTTATCAATATACATAAAAGTATCCAAGCTTTTGTTTATTTTTGTCATCTACTACATGTATCAATCAAAACAACCTACTTTGTGTAAATCTGATTGGTTTCTAATGTGATCTATTGTTGCTGAGCCTAGTTTATTTTATTTTGTACATGAGTTATTCTTTTTCACTAATGATAAATGAAAAAGGCTCCTAGCTATTTTCAGCCGATCAAAAAAGTGTAATTTTTCATGTATATCAGTATTGTGATGAATTCACCAGACCAAACAAGTTGTAGTCTACCAAATAAAGGCCTAATACACGTGTATTGCTACCAAGTATAAATACCAATGCTTATCTGAACTATTATGAAGAGAATCTAGAAGACTGCCAAGTTTGAAGGAAGTCATAAAATGTTAAGGTCTGAATAATTCTGGCGATAACTTGGAAAACATAACACTAATCACATTTCAGTTAACATTAAAACACTAGGCTCCTATTCATATTTTAATAAAAGCGAAACAACTTTGTTACTGAGTTTTAATGGATTACTCCCCAAAGTTTGGAATCAATCACAATAGACATTTAGTACCATGTCAACGACAAACCGAAGTTTCAGTTAGGCGTTAGACGTTTGTGACTTTCATTGGTTTAGCTATGTAAACATGAAAGTATAATTTGATTTAATGAGGCCGTCAAATTGAATTTCCAGACAATAGCAGTGTTTGATTTTCTAATGGCAACAAAAAAGTCCTATTTTCACTCATTGGCTAAAAATTGTTGATTCTATTCGTATTCGATGGCATGTAATGCCGTGGGTGGCAGGGTATTCTGCAGTTTAACCAAAATTTTATCTTAGCATGTACTAAAAAGACTGGTTAAGTAATTTTCTTACTGAGCATGTGGTATAAACAGAAATTCAGGATAAAAAACGTTCCGGTAAATGACTTACGTGAAATGTGACCGCACAGAGAGTCAATAATGACTCCTAAGTTTCAATGTGGCGCGACCTGCACTAAAGGTCCAGACCGTGAAATGTTGGCCTGTGAGAGCACAACTCCACGCTGTAATCCGTACTTAGAAGACAAGCCGACTGTAGGAAAGCCAGCGTGTGAAATCTAAGCAACAAAGATGAACGAAAAACTAGATAAAAAAACGATCTTCGACAACGTGTTACAGCCACCATTGCAAAATGGTCGCTTTCTGAAGCGAGAAATCTGTAATTTGAAGCTTACGTAACTTAGCCGAGCGTAGACTGGAACCTATCTTCGACGATAGTAAACCACGTGACAAGCGCTCTGATCACCGTGACATAGCGTGGTTTACACCTTGTGTAAGCCACACAACGAACCAAAACCACCTATTACGCAGGGTAACTGAACTTCTACCACCCCCGTTAAAAGTTTAGCCAAGGCAGGGTAAAAAAGGAGAAAAACTCCGCTATTGCTCAATTATAAGCCATATTTCAAGCAATTTATTCTTCATCTACCTATAACTTGTGACAAACTGATAGGAAAACCAGAAAATATGAAAACAGATCGGAAATATTGTCCGATGTTTAATTAGTTTCAAGGTTACAAACTGCGAAAAACTAGAAAATAAATAATTCACAGTTTCACTAGAAATGAACTATACGAAAAACTGAGTTAAATCATGTTATAACTACTACTTTGCTGAATATTTGACAAAAAGTCAGTTTGCTGACTACTTGAAAATATACAACGGTGTTAAATCTACATCCTCTTCCGTTACTACTATCGGTTTCAATTAGGTTCCTGGTGATGATAATCACAAAGTTCCAACTCGGTAATTGTTAAAACGAAAATGATAAAAGATCAAGAAACAACAGAAAGAAATTAAGAAATGCAAGTAAGACCTGCGGCGGTTCTGATAGTTCCATCAAGTCAACGCATGAAGGCGAAGAGAAATGCAATGATGCCACCGATTATTGCAATAATCGCTGCTTTATCCGCGTCCGTTAGGGTTTGGGCTTGTTTTAATCCAATGGCCTCCATGTACATGTTGCAGAAGTTCTGGCAGTTGTTGCGATACTTGAAATAGCTCCCAAAATGTTTCATCACTGCAACTGCTTTGCCAATTAGATCCTCTCCTCTCTCTTCGATCTCTCCGAGGTATTCCATCTTAGGCTTCAGAGCTTTGTCAACTTTCCTCGTCACTGGGTAAATATGTTTCTGACCTTTAATTTTGGTGAAACCAAGCTCAACAGAGACGAATTGCTCGTCATTTGTAGTGAGAACAATGGATTTGTGGGAACCAAAACGCTTTCCTTGAATCGAGTAAACTTTATACTTCATCTTCGTGTTCAAGTTTGGTAATAGATTTTGTTTGCCAAGCTCGATCAGTTGCTGCTTGTATTTCTTCAAATACTTATCTTCATCGACCATCGGTTTAGCGAATACATCATTACACGACCCCATGGCGAGGGTCTTTCCTCCTGTTACTGTAAAAAGCTGATCTTCACAGGTTGTTTAAGCCTCGAAATCTCGAAGTGAAAGCCCAGTAATTCAACGCGAGCGTTATGCTAATTAGGTAAGTTGGTGCGATGCAATTGGATAATCTCGATTTCGGAGAAATTTCTCCTCGCAATTGTTTAAAAACCATCGAGGCTCTTTCTCAGAAATGCAAAAATATCAATAATCCTTCTGACGCAGATGTTTCCAGAGCTCGATACGTTCCTTTATAGTTTTGACCATGGTGTTGCAAAGCATTTCAGGGAAACAGAGAGTAATCGCGTCAGGTTACTAAAAACAAATTCTCTTTTGCAAAACGCCGTGTTGTATGGAAAAGCTGATAAGTTCCACATTTCTGCACACTTCTGGTAGAGTAAACCTGCTTTCGGTTTCTGTTGTAATGCTTTCAAAAATATGCTAAACTTTACCTGATCGACCTGGGACCTTATTAAGCGCCATTTTGTTGTGCATTCTTAAGTAAAACGCGAATTTTCTCCTTTAGGTATAAATATGAGGAAAACAGATACGTTTTGAAAGGGGCATCGACGAAGTGGGAATACAAGGAAGAGCACCCTTTCGAAAAACGAACAGAGAACATTGTGATGGAAGAGACGCGTTTCTGAAACGACGATCTTCGTCGCTGATATTTTAGTTCTAGGTATAACGCCGAACGTTCTAAAATATTCTAATGATACTTCCTCATTTCCTGTCAATTTTCTATATTCCTAAATGCATTCTTTTAGCGACGAGTTATCCCTCTTCTGTTCCCTTTCCTGAACAAATTCGTCAACAGGTTTACCTGAAGCTCTACGAGAGTGATTTAATCAAGGTCAGCCGTTGCCTACCCATATATAGCACATTACGCCACAAATCTACCCAATTAATATTCGTGAGTGGTATGTTAATGTCACCTTAAAGCTTTCCTGGATCGACTGATTCGAAGTGAGAAGAGGTTAGTAAGGAGAAGAGTTAGGATCAAGATCACAAACCCGCAAATTGAACATTTTGACAAAACACTAGGGAGAAATAGGTAAAGCCATAATTGCATCAAATGATATCAAGAGAGGATAACATTGGTTTCACTTGCAGCGTCACCACCCACGAGTTAAAAGAACGAAAAAAACCACTTATTACGCAGGGTAACTGAACTTCTATACGACGGGCTTTCGGGGGGGGGGGGGGAGGGGAAGTTTCTGATTGTGATTAAAACACGATCAATATCAACAAAACTCGTTAGTAGGAAGTTCCCATGCATATTTTCTATCTTAAAGCGATTTTCAAAGTCATGCAAACCGGAGATAAAATCCGGCGAGGTTTTCTAGAACTGTCGCGAATTCTACCACCCCCGTTAAAAGCTTAGCCAAGGCAGAGTAAAAAAAGAGAAAAATTCCGCTATTGCTCGATTATAAGCCATATTTATAGCAATTTATTCTTCATCTACCTATAACTTGCGACAAACTGATAGGAAAACCAGAAAATGTGAAAACAGATCGGAAATCTTGTCTGCTGTTTAATTAGAACTGCGAAAAACTAGAAAATAAATAATTCACAGGTTCACTAGAAATGAACTATACGAAAAACTGAGTTAAATCATGTTATAACTACCACTTTGCTGAATATTTGAAAAAAAGTCACTTTGCTGACTACTTGAAAATATTCAACGGTGTTAAATCTACATCCACTTCCGTTACTACTATCGGTTTCAATTAGGTTCCTGGTGATGATAATTACAAAGTTCCAACTCGGTAATTGTTAAAGCGGAAATGATAAAAGATCAAGAAACAACAGAAATAAATTAAGAAATGCAAGCAAGACCTGCGGTGTTTCTGACAATCCCATCAAGTCAATGCATGAGGGCGAAGAGAAATGCAATGATGCCATCGATCATTGCAATAATCGCAGCTTTATCCCCGTCCGTTAGGGTTTGGGCTTGTTTTAATCCAATGGCCTCGGTGTACATGTTGCAGAAGTTCTGGAAATTGTTGCAAAACTTGAAATAGTTCCCAAAACTTTTCATCACTGCAACTGCTTTGCCAATTAAATTTATGCCAGTGTCTTCGATCTCTCCGAGGTATTCCATCTTAGGCTTCAGAGCTTTGTCAATTTTCCTCGTCACTGGGTAAATATGTTTCTTACCGTCAATTTTGATGAAACCAAGCTCTACAGAGACGAATTGCTCGTCATTTGTAGTGAGAACAATGGATTTGTGGGCACCAAAACTGCCTCCTTGAATCGAGTAAACTTTATACTTCAGCTTCGTGTTCAAGTTTGGTAATAGATTTTGTTTGTCAAGCTCGATCAGTTGCTGCTTGTATTTCTCCAAATACTGCTCTGTATCGAGCATTGGTTCAGCGAATACATCATCACACAACGCCATGGCGAGGGTCTTTCCTCCTGTCACTGTAAAAAGCTGATCTTCACAGGTTGTTTATGCTCTTTGATCGAGGGTTTTGCAGTTTGGATACAGAATTTTTAGAAATTATGAATGAACCCTGAGTAGACTTAATACGTTTTTCTTCTGTCAGGAAAAACACCAACAAATTCCTTTAATGAGTCTCTTAACTTTGGACTTTTATTTCAATCGTACAAGCCAAGATCTGGTGGAGAGTTTACATATAGATGCCATGATTAATGCACTGTCTTCACAAAATGCTCTTTGATCGAGGGTTTTGCATGATTAGAAAATCTATGTTAGTAATGTCTTTTTTTTATTGTCACTGATATCCCCAATTAACAGTGGTAATGTCATCGTAAAGAAGATTGACTCTGAACATACACGTTGGTACTATTGTGCATCTTTGGAAAATCTATTATTATTTTATTATTATCATTATTATTTTTATTATTATTATCATTATTTTGGTAAACTTTGTTGATAAAATAACTCAATGTATATATCAACATCATTGCGGGCACGGCTTGGGCAGTGTGGACTAGGATATAAAATATATATATATATGTACACGTTGTATAAGTTTATGTAAATCTAAAATAATGAAAAGTAACCACAAATACACTCTTGGATGAGTTAAATACACTAAAACTTCTCATTGTTGACGTACTTAAGAGGCTCATCATATAAAGCTAAAATCTGTTCTTTCAACTATTGTTACACGCACGAAAATCTCTGTACAATTTCACCTACAGTTCTGTGAAATAACCCATTTCTGGGAACGTTCAATTGTTAACCTTGCTACTTTCGGCCTAAATAACATATTCAGTTCTTTATCTAGGGCTTTGTAGTATGTACCAAGATAGTCAAAAACTATGGTGATAAGCTTCACTTTGTAACCTGGATACAAGTTCTTTATCCCCAATCTAAGTTCTACATACTTGTTCTGTTTGTACTTGGTTCTTTCAGCAATTCATTAATATTATTATTATTATTATCATCATCATTATTATATAACTATTACCATCAATGTAGGAATTATCAACATTACTCTTGTTTAACAAGACTCTTTTGTTTATTCAGCTTGGTTTCTTCTGTAGATAAATAGTATTTACAAATCGTCCGACGGGCTAACGACCACGCAGACTAAAGTTAAGAGCTATGATAACTCAGTGAATACTTTGATGCTCAAGCGCTGCAAATTGAATACTTATCTCCTATAATTCTGGTTTTTATCTTTATTTTCAACCTACAGTATCGATCATAGTCGTAAACATGTTCTGTTCTCCGTTAAGTTTCATACGCTTACACGAGGGTCTCAATAGAGTTAACCATAAGCCGTAAAACGGCCAAAAAAATTTGAAAAATAGGGTGTAGCTAAGGGGCTGGTCCTGGGGTGCCCGTGACCCCCCATATGTAATCCTTTTTTCAAGCAAACAACGTACATTACTCAGGTGGCGAACATTGGTGAGAACCCTCTGTTTTGACACTGTGGTCCCCCCCCCCCCCCCCTTTGAAAAATCCTGGCTACGCCCCTCATTATTTATCGCCCCGGAGGATTTGGGGGTGATTACACGGTTTTAAGGGGAATGGAGGAGGGATCAGTCGTTGCTAACAGAGTGCATTTGGAAATGTAGAAAGTTGACGGGAAATGAGGAAGTATCATTAGAGTATTATAAACTTACGGCGTTTTACCTAAACCTAAAACATCAGCGACGGTGATCTTCATTTCAGAAACGCGTCTCTCTCGTTACACTGTTCTCAAAGACCTTCCAGTACGCATTTTAATTAGTTCTAAGGAGTTTACTGTGGTGTCACGACGAAACAATCTCTTAAAAAGGAAATTAAAACTGTGTCTGTAACTTGAGCTTTGAAAAGCGTAGATAAACGGGTTTACTGAACAACTGAGAAGCGTAAGATACTGTGCAACGTGCCGGAGGCCTGTTAGATACGCAATCTTCATCCTGTTAAAATTCAGTATGATCAAAAGACCGTAAGGGACGAAAGCTGTGAAGAACACCACACTTAACAAGATCAGCAGGATCACCAATCTTCTCTTTTCTCTTGCTTCTTCTGGGGTTTCTGCTCTTTCACTTTTGTTGCTGCAGATTGTCTTCTTGACGTAAAGGCCGTATACAATTTGGGAATAGCAATAGGCGATAATGATGAACGGAATAAATGTCAGAACAATAAAAAGACAACTGACGTAGATTGCCAATTCTTCTAAATCTGCATGGCAAGTACCCGCTGTTGAATCATAAGAGAAGCCTGCAAACAGCGGCGTCACCATCGCTATGGCAACGACCCAAATGGCAGCGATGACGTAAGCAATGTTGCCATTAGTGAGCCTGCCGGAGTTGATAAGCGGTTTCACCAGAGCGTGGTACCTTTCAAAGGCTAGGAGAGTCATGGTCAATGACGTCACTAAGAGTGTTACTATGACGATAGTGTTGTTATAAATGAACGCGCAAAGAAAACTGAGAAGTGCCTTCGGTGAAGTGGGACGGATTTTTCCAATGAGAAAATGGATTGCCGTGAACACTAACGTAGTAACATCGGCGGCTGCCACATTTACCAGGAGGTAATTGGTAGCTGTTCGCATACTGCGTATCATTTTGACCACAGTTATGACAAGCGAGTTGCCTACAACACCAACTATGATTATTAACCAGAAGAAGACCATGTCGACATCTTCAGTGGAGCGGCCTGACTGGTTTGAAGAATCCTGTGGCGCGCTTGTGTTTGTCATTGAGCTATTATTTGATATAGAAGACATTGTGTATCTTCAGCTACCACTTCTCCGCTACAGCGGGGGTTTGGTTGTGTTTTACCTGGAACAAAGTATCAAAAAGAAAGAAAAGATGTAAAACCATTTAGCTGACTCAGCCAGTACGGAGAGATGCTTAGTGCTGATGGATGCTGTTTGACTTTCACAGAGACACAGAACCCTTCTTTGCTTGGCTGATTTGATTTCTTGACTAACACAACATCAACCTCTGATATTTTTTCAAAATATTTATTCGAAATTAACCCATATCTAACTATGAATATATGAAAGTCATAAATTTGAACTGCGGATAAAGACGTGATCTTCGCAGTGATGAACACTACTTAAGCAGTAGCGAAAGTAAGGCCTGAAAAGAAATTCAGGCCTGTACGGGATCCATGACCCCTGCGATACCGGTGCAGTGCTCTACCAGCTGAGCTAACACCAAATAAACCCGTTAAGTAGTGAATAAATGACTGTGAATATATGAAAGTCATATGTTTGAACCGCGGATAAAGACGTGAATATAAAAGCGATCTTCGTATTAATGAACACTACTTGTGCAGTAATGAAAATAAGGCCTGAAAAAAAATTCAGGCCAGTACGGGATTTGAATCTATGACTCCTGCGATACCGGTGTAGTGCTCTACCAACTGAGCTAACGAGCCAACTGAGAGCTGAATTTTTTTTCAAGCCCTATTTTCACTACTGCTCAAGTAGTGTTCATTACCGCGAGGATCGCTTTCATACTTACGTCTTTATCCGCTGTTCAAATATATGACTTTCATATATCACAGTCGTTTGTTCATCAATTCATGGTTTTATTTGGTACCAACATAATGACCTCCCCCAGCTTTCATACTCATCGCCCATACCTACAGAAGCAACAATTTTTAGCCACTTTTTGCCTTTTAAAGTGGAGAACAACAAATCAGTTATAATCCGGGTCAATCAAAGGACCGCAATACTGAATGTTGTTATTGGTCAAGCCCAAATAATCGCAGATTCCTTCAGAAAAAAACTGTACTTAAGAAGGGAGGGTAGAACAAACTAGAAATGTTTCACAAAGAGGCGTATGTTAACGTACTCTATTTACTAGAGGATCGATCAAAAATTGGAATCGTTTCTATTAACCAAACTCATTATCGCATTGAAAAATAAAATTTTTCGAAAATAAATAAATGTTACCCTCAACACCTCTCAGGGATTTGCAGGATTTTTTGAGCAGAAATGAAGATGTTGTTTTAAAACTTGAATCGAAACGGTATTCTTCAATAAGTTTTAGTAATTCGAACTAAACATCACGGCTCTGTATGATATTTTAGAAATTTCTCCAAATTTCCTCTCGAAGATCCTTTAAAACAGTCTAAAATGATACTGCAACTATTTCAGTTCTCAGGAAATTACATGGGCCCTTCCGTTTTCTTCTCCAGATCCACATTCTATCTTGACCGTCGATAAACAAAAAAAATAAACGTATAAAAGCGAAAAATATAAATAAACAAGTGAAAAAGGCGCTAGCTAATCAACGTTGGATAAAAGAGCCTAGAAAACTGAGATTCGACGGTAAGATAGTTAAAAACCAATTACTCGCAAAACTACGCTGTAGATCTGAATAGTTATGATTACTTTCATTAAAAAAATTTCCTTTCATGAGAGAAAAAAAAAGCGAAACAATGCTAAGTATCATGATTTGTGTTGCAAAACGAACACGAACCCACAACCTTCCTCCAAGGTTTATCTGCTGGCAGATAATGTAATTATTTTTTTAAACATACATGCTCTGGCAATGAGATAGCGAAAACATATTGACGATAGCATTTACGGTATTCCTAATAACAGCGACACAGTCAAAATATAACTTTCAGGTGACAAAAATACGAAACACACTCAAAGCTTACAATTTTTCTCTTTTTCATGTTTGCGCAACCGTCGAAAAGCGAGCCCCTTCGATAAGTTCATTGCCATGTACAAAGTGAGGATACAAGGTAAAATCCATAAATTCTACTGACGAAAATCATTGTAATCAATGATGAACTCTACAAAGCTTTTTGTGAATGAAAATGAGATCGCAAAGTCAGTTCACCATTCAACGAGTTCTGAGTGTTAAGATCACAATTTCTCTGAGGCAAAGTCATAGCGCCTTTGATTTTGCTTCCGGTGTTATTAGAATTTGGCTAGAGTCTCAAGATATAGCCCTAAATCAACTTATTTTGGTGACGGCTTCATTAAATAAGAAAATTTGGGCCAATCTTACCTCTTGATCTCGGTTTACAGAGAGCTTTCGAAGTTCGTATCTGTGTGCGTTTGACGTTTTCCATGCCTCGCACTTATTATGAATGAAATTTTTCCTAACATGTTAGTGTTTTAATGAACGGAGGAAGTAGGAGACAACTTGTCAATGTTTCGATGCCTCTTCTGTCGTAATAATAGATATTGCCGCGGTACATATGGATCTGCATTTCCCGAAATCTAGCCTATGGAAAAAAGTTTCGATCTGTCGATTTAATTCTTAAAGTTTTCTCAAGGCAAATTTGACTGCCCTGAGCAAAATGGGCCGAAAACATGTATGGTAATAAAATTGGCGGAAAGGTAAATTGCTCGTGGTCTCTTTTTTAAAATTCAGCGAGTGCCGACATGTCGCAATTTAGGATGAAATTTTACAGCTGCCGAGTCATTACGAGAAGTCATGGAAAATGAATTTATACTATGACCCTAGATAACAAGATTCCGCATCGTACACGAAGGGATCCCACTACATTTTAGGTTGCAAATTTGTGATTTCAGTCTTTTCGTTTAGCACTGTCCTCAGCTATACCATTCGTTTCCTTTAAATCCTTTTTTATTAATTGTGATAACAGAGTGTGAGCACTTGGAGGAGTACTCAAGTACATTAGCCTAAAATCAGATGTTGTTTACATCCTTGTAATGCATTTTAACCTGACAACCACTTGGAGCTTTCATTTCGGCTAACGATGTGTTCAATCATAATGTAGCTCTTCAAATGCTTGATTCCGCATCATACACGAAGGGACCCCACTACATTTTAGGTTGCAAATTTGTGATTTCAGTCTTTTCGTTTAACACTGTCCACAGCTATAAGATTCGCTTCCCGGTTTTAAATCCTTTTTTAAATTGTGGTAACAGAGTGTAAGAACTTGGAGGAGTATTCAAGCACATTAGCCTAAAATCAGATGTTGTTTACTTCCTTGTAATGCATTTTAACCTGACAACCGCTTGGAGCTTTCATTTCAGCAAACAATGTGTTCAATTATAATGTAGCTCTTCAAATGCTTGAGAGACCTTTCCTTTTTCTACTTTAGCTCTTTATGATTTTTGATATGCATAAATGCTCTCAATGTTAAACAAATTGACTTGTATTGTTGTGGCTAAAGTTTCCTCGTAAGGGGTTATGTTCATCTAAAGGGAAACTTCCAAAATTCTCAGATTTCTTTAAAATAATCTCGCTATGTTATTTGAGGCGAAAATTCCGCTAATTTTTATTAAAGCCATGCATACGTCGGATCAGCTACACAAATTTGTCACAATATCAGTAGTTATTTGGTTGGTAAACTTTCAAATTAATAGTTGAATTTTTTTGCCGAAGATTTAACAATGCCCAGAAAGGATGTTGTTTATCCTACACCTTTAAAGAATTGGACACACTAACCGACGAGGTATGACTTTCAAGAAGACCAATATCTAGGTGAAAACTAGATCTTTACCGCTGTCCATAATTTTAGTGTTTCTCTTTAGTGGCAAAGTATACCCTTGAATTGGCACAAAAAAAGAAACCTAACTTTATGTAAAGACTGCGCAATAAATTACTCATGAAAGATTATCTTTTTCTTTTGTTCTATACTCCTCAACAACATTAGAATGAGTTTTTTATTACAAAATCATCAGAATAATTTATGCCTTTTTGCGCCATCGGCACCCACGCGAGCAAGGAAAAATAGTAAAGTGAAGGCTACACTTAAAAAGGAACAGGAATAAATAGGAATACAGAAGATTAGGCAGATTTTGCATTTAGTTTTAGAGTTCTAAATATGCCCAAATGATTCCGTAGTTTCTCTTGAGTCGACCCAACTTGAATCTAATCACCATCATCAGTTTTGAATTACATCCTCGAGACAGAATTTCAAGAAACCGAAGAATCATAAAATTTGTGTTGAATTATCGAAGTATTTCAATTTTGAACGAAATCCGATAAGAACTTGGTAGTGATGTAGTCTGGATTTCATTCTTTTGATTGTGAACCAAACTCTAGGCTCTCGAACCAACGGGATTAAATAAGATAAGAAGAAGAAGGCGAGTTTATTCGTACAAATGCGCTTATGTTTGTTTTCTGCTTTTCTAAAAGTTTGTTTTTTAGACAACACAATGCTTGAAAAAACACATTTGCATCTTGAGACTAAGCAATTTTGTCATTAGTATATCAGGTGCCCCGATCAAATATAGCAAACTTTAAATTGCCTTTTGCTTTTTCGCTAAGACCAAACCAATTAATCCTATTATCTAATTCAGAAAGTAAAAGAAAAGAAAGAAAAGGCTAATTTTTCGTTTCGGGTTTTACATTGAGGTCAATTTCCATCTTAAAAAGTGATTGGAAATCTCAACCTAACATCATGTAACAGATCAAAAGGTAAAAAAAACTAGCGCACTCTTTCACAAAGTGAATGCAAATTGAAGCGAATTCTACAAAGCAAGAAGGAGCAGTAGGTAAGGGGAAAGAAAGAAGAGATATTGATTGATGTTTTAGCTTTAGAAAATTAGTTGAAATATTTTGCCTCCAACAGTTTTAAATCTCTTTTAATCATGCTGGCACGGGCTTAAAGCCAAAATTTTTTTCCAGAAAACCTACACGAACAGTTTTAAGTTTTAGAAAATGGGATGTCAGCAGTCTCTATAAATACATTTTTACGTCTAGATACTCTGAAAAATCTGTGTATATCGAAAAAAATTCACATCATAGGAGAGAAGCGTTGATATTTCTATCGTTTTGATCTGATCTTAAATAAAAGCTGAATATTTGGCGGGTTACGCTACTTTTTGAAGAATTCAAATCTAAATGTAACAACGTTTTGACTGACAAATAAGACCTTGGCCTGAAGTATAAATTTCACACAGATTTTAAAGTGATAATATTAATTTGTCCCACGCGCGTGGGATCGGATCAATCAGGCGATTAAGTTTTCTTTAATCTTCACCTTCTAAACATCGGAAACAGGGCTACAAATCAATAACGTTGGACTGATATTCTCGAGGGTCAACCGACCACCGACGATTGCAAAAATGTTCGTCAATTACATTCAGTTCGTGATAACGAGTCGCCTGCGCATCAAAGTCAGTCCTTTCAATCCTCGGCCTGTCGTGAGGGTTTTGAGCAACACTGCGCTCTATCAACCAGCATTGCGCATGTACTCATTTATGTTACCGTCACCCTTGGAACATTTCATTGTCGTTGTAGTAGTAGTAGCGGCTGAGAATTAATAGAAAATTACCTGATAAGCAGAAACAGCTTCATGGGAGGTTGAATCACTCTACGATCGAAGAAGACGCAAGAAAAGTTTTCAATTTGAACATATCGATAAAAACTGGTTTTTAATCGTGTCGTGAGATTTTAACAGCCGAAATTTTAATCTTTTTAGGCTCATGTATTTTCCTATAGGTATCCTAGGGCAAATATCCGGCTTAAGTTCTGAGGTAAACTTTATAGAGAGGCTTCAGCTAAGCTTAATTAAGACTAGGCAAGGTCGAACCTGACTTTATAATCTTACATGGGCGCTTGGTGGAAAGAAGAGAATACGATATTCAGATTGATTGACTGAAAACGAGTCTTGAAAAAATCGTTTTTTTTTTTTTTTTTTTTTTTCGTAAACTGGAACCTTTCAAGAGTAGTTATTTGCGTCAAATTAAATTCATTTTCGTTAGTGATTTTGACGAACCAAGGCGACGTAACGAACTAAAATACCAGCGGCATCAGGAGTCCGTCATAGTCAAGTACTAAGTTCTCACGAATTAACCTTGAGAGAAGGAACAGATTCTAATCGAAAACTTTAGCAAATCGATAATAGTTGAGCGTGGCCTGTACTCTTATCGCCAGTGATATTCGTCATCAGAGTGTTCAAAATGTTATGGATACACAGGGCACAGTCGAGTGGGTCCAAAACAAGTTTTGATAATTGTGATGACGAAGATCGTTGTGGACAAGAGTACAAACCAGGCTGAACCACTGTCGATTTGTTTTTTTACCACAATATCGACATCAAACAAAGTGATTCTTCAGTGCTTGACCAAGATCGGAACACGTTGACGCGAACAGCTATGTCTATACTCTTATACACAAAGGTAAACTGGCCAATCAGATTGCAACATTGCTGTCAATTGTGTTAAAAAAAAGCAGTATAACGAGATTCCTGTCCTTCCCACCATAAAAAAATATTACCACTGTAGGAAGGAAATGCCAAATAACAGTTTGCTGACGTAGCAAAGAATCCGAATGCAAACGCAGATGATTCTGTTGAATTGGGGCTTTCTTTTTTGAATTGAGCGAAATTTTATACAATCCACAAACGATCACTTAGATTTGATTTCTACATCAGATAACGAAAGAAAAAAATATCAAAAGCCTAAAGTTCGTTGTAGCTGTATGATTAAGTTGCAATACTTACTTCTCAACGCAAAAAGAGACCAAAAACAAACAGACAAATCGCAATGATAAACAGTGGCCTGATTAAATTTTTTACATTGCGAATTGTATCCCAGTATCACCTAATTTCTCTCAGTAGTAAGCCTGATGCAACGCTATATTCTCATAACTAGCAAGAAAAGAAAAGTACTTGGGCGGTGAAGAGAATTGCTTTGTACCATTGTAATTTGAATTTGAATTAGATTTTCATTTGGAATTATTATTAGAAGCATCAGAAGTACCGAGCAAAAATGCAATTTTTTTCCATTCTGTAAGAAGAAATTAATTCCTTTCGGCTTTCTAGAAAATTTTCTCCTAAAACAACATAAACACCTTACTATGATTGTCACGAAAAATCACTCGTGCATTTTCCTCTGAGTGCATCTAACGTACAGGTAAACAACACTTGTAAATCGTTCACCTCAAGCCGGTACTGGCCGGAGAAGTTTATTTTCCGCGGTTAATGTTGGTAAAATTTGATAGAGCTTACCTTGAGTCAGAGTATATCCCTCAGCTTCAAATATGATCCACTTTCTACGATCACCTTTTTCGACAAAAAGCGTTGGCTTCCCGCATCGCTAGCTTTGGCTATTATAACTCAAGAATTTAAACTCAGCACATCGAACAATCTCGAAGATTTTCTTTCAGAATTTTTGTCTTTGTTTCTGCATCCAGCAACACTTAGTCCTGCAGGAAGTATATTTGCTCAGATGAAGTTGGAGGCTTTATACTCTATTGCATAAAGTCTCAGATCCTTTTGTAATTTTTACAAAGCGGGAGATTTGGAATGACAGTCACGTATAGATGGAATAATGTCTGTGTGTCACCATCCCGACAGAGAACACTGTTACTCTCTATTAAAAGCAAGGTCTACAATTGGTTGAAAAACATCGTCACGCCTGGTAAACATCAGGCATCCAGGAACTTTTCAAATGAATACGGTAAAATGCATATCCGGGATCACGTAGAGGGACATCTGTCTTCTGAGCGCAGATGACGTACGTGCGATGGCAGTTTCATTGTTATTTGTGGTCGATTTTACGTGGAGATATGAATTTAATTATGAAAAAGAAATTGAGTCACGCTTCATATTTGGCCAATTTCTAACTCGAATCATCAGAAAAAAAACGAGAGCGAAAAAGAATCGGTCAAAAAAATAGTTGGAATTTATAAGATGCCCCCTAGGCCGATGGAAGAGCGTGATTATTGGCACATTAAAATTTATTTACATCGAATCAGATCGAATAAAGAAAACGAAATGGACAGCGAAATCGCCGTCATACAAACAAATTAAATTTTGATAGATTGTGGTTCAACCTGATAATTTTTCACGGAAATTCGCTTTGTTGGTTTCTAAATGTTGGACAGCGAGCGTACGCTTTTCGTAAAAGCCCACTTATTTTTAGTTTGAATGATTATGCATTTTTGGATGTTTGGATGATTTTTTCTATTTGGAATTAGGAACATATGCTAATTACACCGTAATGAGACTCGACTTTGCTATTTTTTCGTAAGCGGTGAACGTTTCTTTGGGAAAGCTCTACGCTGTCAATGCATCAGTCGGCCCCAAGTCGCCGAAAATTTGCAACTGAAAATTCAGAAAGATAACCGATCTAGTACAAATGTGCTAGCGTCTAACGGATGTGAATTAGGGTCACTAATTTTGTTACAAGACAGGGTTTCAGATCATTTTTTCTTTGACATTAGCGATTTTCATCAGCTGAACCCATTATGCCGCGGTTTTCCTCGTCTTTCAGGGCTTAAAACCTTTGCAATAACAGTCATGCCAGCAGATGGAGCAAATTCGGCTAAAACTATAAGATTTTTTTTTTACAGTCCTTTTGATTTCGCCTTTAAAGTTTCCCTTTTTTTGTACAGGCTAACAATGTTTTGAGAAATGTTCAGTGTAACCTTAAAATAATTTTCAGCGTAAAGAATGAGATATGAATGACATTACCTTTTGCTGTCATGTCAATATAAATAACAATAATAAAAACGGTAAATTATAATAATGGCATAATAATATTATTAATAGTAACAGTAATGATGTTTACTGAATCCAACTCGCCAAGGTGGTTTTCAATTTGAAGTTACCCTTCAGAAACACAGGATGAAGCTGTGGATTAACCATTACGTTAGCGGAAGTGTGGTTGCCGTTTTAAAATAGTCAACAGACAACAGCAGCTGTACATATGGTCTTCAAATATGTTGATTTACTGCTGATTATAAATGTTGCATGACTTACCTTAGAAGTCGCGGAATATGTAGTTTGTTGACAGCTATGCAAATAAGTTCCAACAGCCCGAACAATAATGATAAGGTCGCCACTAATTGAATTTTCCCGGTGAAAGAGCAAAGTCGATGTTTTACTTGCTGTGTTTTCTATAAAAAAAAATAAAGCAAGAAAGAAAACGAAAAAGTAAATAAATAGATTTGACGATGGTGCCGTTTTACAGAAGTATATTCTCGCCAAATATATAGCCTCGTATATATATAAATGCGCACGCTCGAATTTAATTTTCAAAGGTTCAGGTGATAAATTTAGACATAAACTTGACGTTACTGGCGACACGTTTGCTTAAAAGCAACAAGTTCTTTGATAAAAAAAATATTTCTATCAAAGGAAAAAGCTCTTTCTTGCGTACGATAAAGGAAAAAGATGCCAAATTTTCTTCAAATGCAATAAAAGTGGTAGAATATAATGCCGGTACAAGTTAGGCCCGGCCAATTTGGTCGTTTCTTCATTTTTTGGAGGAATCAACCACCTTTTCGTAGTAGGAGAGCAAAAAAGCTTTACGAATCTTACGAATCTTAGACGAGTGTTACTGGTAAATCGCAACATTATTCAATAAAAGGAATAAAGAGATCCTTTATTACAGAGCCTGATTTTGGTCTTTGCAGACATTTCGGAAGAGCATTTCTTTCCCAAGACGTCTGCAAACACCAAAAACAGGCTCTGTTTGAAGGCATCTCTTTATTTCTTTTTTTTATGGTAGAGTCGTTAGACAACTTAATTTCTAAATTATTCAACACGTTAAAGTACTTGATTTATCCCGTGTAACTAATACATCATATGTTTTCTTATAGAAAATTATCCGTCCTCTCCTAAGGATCCTTTGTTGAACAAAAACTTTTCATTTTTTTAACAAAAAAACTATTAAATTTATTCTGGGTGTTTTAAAGGTTCGGCGATTAAGAACTGTAAACAAAATGATCCTTTCTCCCTACTGAGCGACCTCAAAAATGAATGAATTGAACATTCAATATGATTTTCGTAGGTAAGTTGGTGAAACTGATTAGAAAAATTGATTTACTCGGCCAGCACATGCTTTTGATAACGTCAACTATCCACGTACATGCGGTAAATAACCATTGCAACGGAGTTGGATGTGATTAATTTAAGCCTGAAATAACCTAGAGAAGACAAAATTAGAATTATTTATCGATCCTTACTACGATAGTATCAACAAGTATTTAGAAATTTACGAGGCAAGTTCCTCAGACTTACGCTTTAGTTCTATAAAAAGTGCCCACGTAACGAAAGTCGGCAAAGAAAAATTCGTTGCTCTCTTGAGAACCAAAATGAAGCACGGACGGTCTCATGAACACGTTTCATCAAAGGAAGTTTTTCTGTGGGAAACAAATTATTCATAAGTATACTCAAGTCACCAAAAAGAGACAACTGTCATGGTGTGATGTTTACTCGTCGTTTATTTATAGCGAAAAAAATTATTAAAACGACAAATAATTTGAACGAGGCTTTCGAACTGTGACGTAACCGTGTCAATATTTTCGTGCGTTTCGAGGGGATTTTTCGTTAAAAAAATTGTTCTTTACGTCCTTGACGAGATGTGTTGGATATCTCTTACGTAAAGATTAGAATCGGTATGGTAAGTCGTGGGCTATTTTTTAAGTCAAGTGGTACAAATTCATACGGTAAAAAAATTCTTGCGTATTAGGGCAGTTGGGACTCACATTTTTTTACAAGTTTATTCACCTGGAAAAAGGTCCAAATTCCTCAAAACAAAACGCAGTGAGAAGACGATGCATTTGGTTTTCAAGAACCGTAATGTGCGGTCACTGAGTTGTAATGAATGCGTTCGTAATCATGTTTGTAACAAAATAACATTAACGATCGAGAGCTTAATTACAATAATTCTATCCTTTCATTATTTGTTGACAACGCTACGAGACACTATGAAATGATCTCGTCTTTTTTTTTTTCTCTCCCTCTATCTCTCTTTTTCTCTTTTACTGGAAGTGGAGCCCCCTTGAAGACTGACACAGTTTAGAATACATTATACGCTATCGAGGGAAGAGGCGAAATATTTGTCTTGAACCGACGTTCTAATCCAAATTTACCAACCCATCTGGCAGCTAGGTAGATGCAAATCATGTCACACGGTTGCTTGGTTTCTAATCTAAAGATGCAATATACATGTAATGTGCGGGGGAAGAAGACTTGTCATCTCGTTCCTCCGTTTTTCTTCATATTTCATATGTAAGACGACCGTTGCAATTGCTTGAAAAAAGGAAGAGGGCGAAAAGCAATAACATTCCGCTGTGGGGGCGTTTGCGATGATATCACTTTTATCATTACAAATAAAAACTCTGATGCATAATAGACTTCTGTCTAAATTTATGAACAATTTAAGGTAGCTTTGAACTCGCGATACAGATCTTTTAACAAATTTCAAGAGGATGAGAATTCATTTATTGAGTTGTGTAGGGATGTACAAGGTCGGTTACCTTTTAAAAATTTTACACGCTGCACGCAAAGAGAGAATATTTCAAACTCTGCTATAATCTTTTCTTTCTTTTACAGAAAACTGACCATTTCACGTCGTATCTCTTATCCCATCAACCCCTCCCCTCTCCTCTTAGTAGTGTTCATGGCTTACCACTTCCTCTTCTGCAGTTAAGCGAGGAAACCTCTTCAAGTTAACCTAGGATGACAAGTTACATGCTGATTTTAATTCTCAGAAATAAGACTGGGGCTTTAGCCAGCTCGCTTTCAAGTCATCAAGCCTAAAAAATCTGAATAAAAGAGTGAGTTGTATATCTATCTCTGATGTTTTTGACATAGGTTGAGGTGAGTGGAATGCATATAAAATAGTTAAAAGACGACCAGTTGTCTATTTTGAACACACTGAAAAGATTATCGTCAGTATGACGTAGTCACCATTCGCCATTCCGTTTGAGTTGTCTCAATAAAATATAACCTGTCTGTAAGGAGTTTGTTGCGAGTGGGATGCATCCTGACTCGTATTCCAAAACATCGTGGGAGAGCCTTGGATATATTGTAAAGTTCGTACCTATATTATTTTAATTTATTTTAACCATGTTCGTGTCCAAATTTGACGCAACGTTCTACGTAAGCGAGTTTGTGTTCGGCCATAATTTTTAGAGTCGGTCTCTTCACCCTTTCTCTCCCAAGATCTCATTGGTAACTCTCTTTACCATCTGTTATACAGGTTTTATGAAATTATTTCGGAGAGTTTGGTATTGGATCAACTAATAATCCCCTGGTTGATCTTTTCTTTATTCTCCTAACTTGCCTGCTTGATATTGCGTTGATGTTGTAACGAGAAATTCTATCTTGCTCACTCCTGGGGATTTAAGGGGTTGATGTTTTCAAAAGATATAATTCTTGGAGAATAAACGCGATGGAGGAACTTTTCGTTAGTTGAAGTCTTACACTGATCTTGATGGAAATAACTAGCAAGAAACGTCAGCGATATTAGACGGGAATTTATTTTATATCACACAGGTGAAAAAGAGATGCCCACCTGCTTCTGTCCATTAGCCAGTCATCTTTAATGGATTCAAATTTCAATTTATTTTGTGGACAGAATAAAACAAAAGCGTCGTAAACAGATATGCAGCCAGGATCCTTTTATCCTGCTTTGTTGATGCTCACTTCATTGTAAAAAACGCGATTGAGTCACCAATACCGTTCTTGACTCTCCATAAAAGCTTGTTGGAAAATTCAAGAGGCCAACTAAATATCGGTTTAATTTAGAAGTCAATGCAAAAAGTATTAATACGAGAAAAGACTTAGATAAAATAAGAAATATGGGAGACTTCTTTATGTTTCAATCGAATAAATTGAAAAATCATCGTCCGCCTTGCTCTTTCTTGAAGCTACGTTCTTCAATGTTGTTATTGATCATGTTTGTTTGCAAAAATTGCGTTTCTTTTAAGATAAATTTTCGATTATGTGTCCTCATTTTTAAAAGGTTTGCAAAACCTTTAAACAACACAGATTTTTTTTCTTTAATTTAGAAAAGCTTTCAGAAATGTTCGATATTTTGCACTGTCTAACAGTTTTCATCACTCATCATGAATTTGAGGTTTATGAATTGAAACAAATTATTGAAAACCATCAGACTGCAATTTATTCTAGAAGTCTATTCGTTTTACTAAACACATTGCCCAGGGAAAAGTAACAAATCTGCCATAAGTGATTTCATACTTGGTACGAAGAGACATCAGTTTAAACTTAAAAGGGAACAAGATAAATTCCAATTTTCCCGGTAACTTTGCCAAGCAAAATTATCTTGCCAAAAAAGCAGGCGGCCAAATCCAGACTGAGAAACTAATTTAGGAATGTTTACATAATATCTATGTATAAAAGAAGAAAATTCAAGCAAAAAACAAATTTGCCCGACCAATCAAAAAGATCTACCTACCTAATAAAGGAAGTATGTTATTTAATATTCTTGCTGATTATGCATTCAAGGCAATCGTAGGTAGAGAAAGATATGATGACTTGACACTGGAGAAAATTAGCTTTGCTGTGTAATATTTCATGCGTTAACTTACAACATTTCCTTGTGATATTTCATGAACTAACCTAAAAGCTTTGGAGTGATTTAAGGGGGTTCACCGTTTGAAGTAGCAGAAATGTAAAGAGGAGCCAATAGAAAGTAAAATTGGATGGTTCTAATATTCAAGAAAATTTTTCAGTGGTGTGGAAAGTGAAGTAATTGTCACGTCCTTTTGTAAGTTTTGCAGAGACTGAACCATCTATATGGTGGTTTGATAAACTTGACAGATTTTTTTCGGCTTTAGCCGTTTCCAATTAAATTGACATAAATTTTGTAATATGTTTCTCAATTTTGAGTGAAGTATGGTTTTAATTTCCTTGACGGACCATTTTACGCTGTCATTCTTAAGTCAAAGACATTTTTCGAAATTATGCATTTAGTTCCACTGGGATGAAGGCAGCTGGATCATAGTCATTGTAAAATACGTTGCACGATTTTTTTTTTTTTAAATGTCTTCCCTAACCTTTTTTGATTGAGTGAAACTGGTCCGAATTCAGGCGCTATTAACCCTATGTTTACTTTCTATATTTCTTCTTTCCGCCCAAAGGATTGTTAAAGACAAATTAAAAATCCTTATTTAAAACATTGAAGAAAAGATCGCCCTAAAATTAATGAAAAGAAAAGATCAAAAACAAGGCGTGGGCTTGTTTTCTTTTGCTTTTTTTTATTTTTTTTATTTTTTTTTCGGTTCCATGGTCTTATCCACATCTCTCCTAAAACGAAAGCTGATCTACACTCTTTCATGTAGTGTTTTATTTGGTATTATAACTGAAAAATCAAAAAACCGTGACTAAGAAGCCAAAAAGGTAAATCCAAAACTTTGCCCTGGTAAGAACAACTTACTCTAGTTTATGTTTCTTTTAGTGTTAAATACTGATTTAAAAGACTTACCTTCAACCTCGAAAAAGCAGCAGAAAGTTGTTTTGCAGTATTTAAGCTGGGGCGACAATGATTAATTGACTTCTGGTAGCACAAGAACATATATTGCTTTTTTCCAAAGTTCACATTATTGCACCTCTGCTATTGTCCAATAGGAGATCATTTTTTAATTAAAACTGAATCATTACCCGGAGACATTTGTCTGCTGACTGGAGACACTTCAGACATACCATCAATTTAGGTAGATTTCAAAGGAAACCGTGTTTAGAAATTGGCATAAGGAACCTTAAACTGTTCAACACATTTTACCAAACTTGTGCCATCATTGTTCAGTTAATTTTATACATAAACAAGGTAGATCTTATCTGTAAACTCAGTACACAGGAGCAGCAGAGACTAACAAATCAAATTAAAAAATGTTCTTGAGGTTTCCAAGAGATCACGCAGAGATAAAACTCTAATCTGGCCTTTACCGCGAAAGTCTTTTTCATGTGCCGAAACTTAAGATTAAAAGCATTTCTGATGTCATTCGAAATTCGATTTTCGACCAGAACTATATCCGCTTGTGAACCTGATGGTAGTTAGGAGTGTTAGAGATTTATCCCGTGTTGTTAAAGGCAGATAGTCACCAAAAACAGGCCGCGAGAAAAATGGCATCTCAGAAACCCACAAGTCAGATTTTGTTTCGAGCATGACGTCATGGGCACGAAAGGAAAACACAGGTGAACACAACTGTAAAACGTATGGGGCCTGGGCGAGAAAATAAATTTTGCCGCCTGCGCTCCAATTTCCCACGCCATGTTTTTCAGGCTTTTACAGTTAAAAAAAAAATGAAAGTGAAGTCCTCTCTATTGACACAAGAGATTATATAAAATCTCTTGACTGAAGGAAACTTGTTTAATTCGCTATTTATGAAATTTGACCTTTTGTATATTTTAAAGGAGTCTGGAGATAAATCCCAGCGTTCCGATTGGTTCTTTCTTGATCGGGATTCTGCCCTACGGACCGCTTCCTCGGAAACGATCATCAGTCGTCCATTTTTGTTTACGCGGCCGGCACATTTGATATTTGCATCAAAGACTGTGAAGTTCATCATGGAAAATACTTTCATCCTTCGCAAAACCAAATGATTTGATTTTAGAAAGAAGCAGCGAACTTTTCATTATCCGCAGGAAGTGCGGTTTTGTGCGCAATAAAGCGATGAGCTGCGAAGCTTGGGAAGGAACATGACTTATTTCCAAGCACTTGCGATTTCTTCGCTCATCGCTTGGCGAACACAAAACCATAAAGTGCATACAAAACCGGCAGCCAGCCACACAGGCTGATGTGTAGTTGTATATGAAACAACCATAAACGAAATCCAGGAGGCCATAGATGATTATATAAACAAACAGTAATATGCAGACACAACTGATTTGTATTTTATAAAGAAGCAGACTATCATTCACGGGGCGAAGTTTTCATTCACCTCAAGATCCGATTGAAATTGTGATGAGACCTGCGCAACAAGCGGTTTTATGGGTAATATCGCGATGATATTTTCCGACACTTGCGATTTCTACCCTCATCGCCTAGCGAACAAAAAACCACAAAGTGCACACAAAACTGCCAGCCAAGCAGGCTACTCGTGATGTAGCATTTGAAACAACCATAAACGAGAGTCAGATGGCCATAGATGATTTTATAAACAAACAGAAATGTGCAGAGATAAATTAGAAGCTGACTTCTCTTACTGATCCTTCCTCTCTTTTGTTTTGCTTTCCTCTGAAATTATATTTCTTTACAAAGTGATTATGCGCTAAAGTTGTTATCAATTTTTATTTTGGTGTACAGTGTCCCATGTTCTTAAGAAATGCGGCCTAGGTATAGATGTTGTCTTACAGTGGCATTCCTTAACACTCATTTTTATGTTACATGTACAATGAAGAACTATTTAACATCCTTAACGTTATTACGTTATCGACTGTGTAAAAACTAAATACCTTGTGGTTACAGCTCGGTCTTTCGCTCAGGTGAGGACATTCAGTAAAAATCACAGGACAGAGACTGAAGATTAATGTAAAGGCGAACAGCGGTGAGATTGGCTCTACACTAAACTGGCTTCGGCGATAAGAAGCTGCATCAGGAAACCACAATACTTTCCACACGAAGCTAAAAGTAACTAAAGGGAAATCTTCATAATCCGGCCAGCGCCATAGGATTTCCCTTTCTGTCTCATAATTTTTCTTGAGGACACG